TGGGCGCCCAACACCCAACCCCTCCGCAGACGAGCTGGCCGACGCGATTGCGACTGCCATGGCCGGTCGCCTCCAAACCTCAGGGGATATCGGTGCAGTGTCTCACCCCGCAACTCTTCGTATGACTGAGAGTAGAAGAATTGAGCCTTGGGATGGTGTGTTTAAGTCGGGGGACAGTAGGCAGCAGAAGCTTTTGATTTTTCGATCGAGCATGGTAGCACGCTTTGCGCAGGAGGATGTTCACGAAGTAGTGATGAGCAACCAAGACATCCCAGTAGGGAGGCAGGGGATCAGTATGACTGACCTGAAGACTGAGTATGGCGAACAAAAGGTAGCCAAGGCTATAGTGGCATGGAATGTGCTAATCACGTCAATCTCGTACATGCCGATTCTGTCGGAAATCGTGTCGGACGGGAGCCCGAGTGGTGGCTGGAGGATTTTCCTCAAATATTACGAGCCACAAGCGAAAGCGGAGAAGAAAAGACTTTTGAAAGAGTACCATGGCTTCGCAATGCATGCAAACGAACATCCACAAGAGTACTTCGGTAGGTTCTCTATTTTGCGGAGTAGACTAGCGTCGCACGGGACAGTGTATCCTGACAACGAAGCAAACGACCACCTAGTGTCTGCCCTCTCGTCCGACTACAAGATAGAGAAGAAACTTTTGGACCGCACCCCTGATTTGACTTTTGAGCAGATTGAGGATTCCGTGAAGGAGGCCCACACGGACCTGGTGCGCGCACGGGAGGAGGAGGAAAAGAGTGGCGTGGGGCACGCCTTCGTCGCTTCCGGTGCGCCCCGGGGCGACGGACGTGTCCCAAATGGGTCGAGTGGGAACGGCGGCGGACAGGACGGCAAAGGCGACGGTCGGAGCAGGAGCGACGAGACCAGAGGAGACAGGCGCTGTCATTTTCATCCGTGGTCAAACCACACAAACGCGGAGTGCTACCAACAGCAGCGGGAAAAGGAGAGAAAGCAGCGGCAGCAGCAGCGGCGGCAGCAGTCATCGATGACTGTGCACGTAGTCAAATGGTCAGCCTTTATCTAATAGCACCTCGCAACACTACCGATGATGCACACTTCTGCGTGGGCGTGGCTTCTCGCTCTGCTGCTGTTCCATGATCGCCTCGTCCCCCATCTGTAAGTTTTCATGAACCTTCGGCCGAGGGAGTTTCCATGTCTTGCGCCAATAATCATTTGCATACCATTTTCGGTGTTTCTGTGGTGGATTGATGATAACGGTGAACACAACCACGATGTGCTACAGTAGTACTACCGCTCGCTGTATGCAGCACCACCACGGCTACTACCGCTGTACCCAACACACCGTGTGATGTTAGTGCTCATGGCTCCAATAGTTACCCTCATCTCCAACAAAGCCCCTATGTTACAAAATGTGTGTATGTTGTTGTTGTTGTTGTTGTTGTTGTTGTTGTTCTCTTTACAATAAAATACCGTTCCGAGCGCTCTCTACCCAGTACCTTCGTATGTCCGTACTGATCCAACACTCGACGCGGTCGATTACTACCGTGGTCACAGGATAACTTACCCTACAAAGGTACACTCAAATAATCTTGCCCCGAGGGGTCAGCAAGTCAATAGATGTAAATGACAGTAGAAATAAGTCCTACATATATATGTTGTTGTACTTCGTATTGGTTTAATATTCATGTAGAGTATGAGACATTAAGTGAAAGTTTTCTGAGGTATATCTGCAATTGTCGGAAGGCAAAAATAAATAAATAAATAGAAATCATGTGTTATGTATGTAGATCTACGCGTGCGTGTATATATATGTAGACTAACTAGTCTGTGTGTAGTAAACTACGTCGTGCGGACATCAGTAGCACCACACCTTGACCTGTTTTCAAACCTCGATTGGACTATGTCGTCAGATAACCACCATGGCGTATNTGTAGAGTATGAGACATTAAGTGAAAGTTTTCTGAGGTATATCTGCAATTGTCGGAAGGCAAAAATAAATAAATAAATAGAAATCATGTGTTATGTATGTAGATCTACGCGTGCGTGTATATATATGTAGACTAACTAGTCTGTGTGTAGTAAACTACGTCGTGCGGACATCAGTAGCACCACACCTTGACCTGTTTTCAAACCTCGATTGGACTATGTCGTCAGATAACCACCATGGCGTATGTATTGGAATATACAAAGTGTTGACTATTGTCATTGACTACCCTTCATGTAGACATAGTGCTGAGCGAAATCGAGACTACTGCTGTAATGTTCATCTCTGGAACCACTCATACAAAGTCATTGTTTTTACATCAAGCATCCGAGAACGAGTGCCTCATCATGTATGTACGTTTTTCTGCTGTCACATGAGTAGCTTAGCATGCATTTAAATTTCCATGCCTTTGAATGATTATGTATTAACGTATATCTATATCCACACGAATGTTTCCCATTGACGTACACGGCTCCTCAACGTCAACGTCTACTGTATGTGGCAAATTGCTTGCATGTATTAGATATATTGGGGGTACTCGTAGCATAGTATGACGGTTGAGGTGTTAAGTACGTACGTACGAAATTTGCAGTGATGAGATGCGGAGGAACAGGAACTTTCTACATATTTTCCTTGGTTGTGAGAGGCATTTGGTGAGGATTCAGAGAGATTCGTTGTGTGAGAAAGCATGAAGGCGTGACTCGATACCGTGATGGTTTGACGAGCACGAGCACGCCCCGATTAATACAACACGTATAAAACACGTTTCCCAACACGTTTTTACCCATTTACGCCCCGTCATGGGCCACCCGCTCTAAACTCCAAGCACATAGAATTGGGCCACCCGAATTATCGATCAGCATGTACGCTGATGGTGTCCTCTACCACACACCGTATATATGTACATATCTTTAGAGCGACTGAGCCATTGAGGAGGAGCAATTGCGCAACTCGTGGATTTCCGGCTAGCCGGGCCGGCGATGAACTACCCACACTGCCTCAGGAACCGGCCGCCGATGGTCATCACAATTTGCGAACAAGGGTGGCTCCCCGAGGGAGAGGCACTCGAGGAAGAGGCACTCGAGGCAGAGGCACTCGAGGGAGGGGTGGTTCTCGGCCGGGACGCGCCATGCGTGGCCGTGGAAGAGGTAGGTCTAGTGAAACGAACAACCAGCGCCGCGTCCAACTGCAGCGTCTACGCCGCTCCGGCGAATCGTGTTAGAAAGGCTTACCCCATTAGACGATTCAGTCAGCGCTGACTTATCTAATGGTGCAACTTTATCTAGTAAACGATAAACGCTCAGCTCATTAGACTAGAACCCGGCCGGATCACTTGGGTTTTATGGGTTTTTGAGAGAAGGGATCTCCGGGGACGGACCCCTGACCAGACGCTGATAGTTCTAGGTGCACTTTTTTGCAAAGACAAGTGATCCGGCCGGTATTTGAACTCGTTCGGGCATCCGTTGTTAGAAAAGCTTACCCCATTAGACCACTCAGCCAGCGCTGACTCGCCCCAGGCACGTCAAGCTCGACTCAGCGCTCGACGGGCGCAGGTTGCACAGGAACGGAGGGAAGGGAGGACCGCGCGTGCGACGAGAAACCTGAGTAGCATGGAGGAGGAGTCGGAAGGCGGCGACGACGACGACGATAACCCGTTCGACATCGGCCATTTGAGCGTAAGTACGTTGAGGTTGTTGATTCGGAAAGTACACCACCTAGTTCGCGCCTTAGTTAGCCGGCCGTCACCATAATCCTCTGCGTTGGGTCAATAAACGGCCCTACTCCTCTTACCATCGTCGTCCCCTACCGTCGTCCCCTGTCCATCTTGACAGACTCGCACCAACGTCAAGTCCTTCTACGATAGGCTGCACTCCAACGAACAACGATTTTGCGGAGTGTGCCAAGAGATGTGGCCTGTCAGGCGTGGAGATGCACCGCCAACACGTCACCAACTGTGTGAACGGTGAGCAACATTCAAACGCGGAGGCAGGCGGAGACACATATCGTGTGCCCGTTTGAAGCATAGCCCTTTCTCGANTGCCAAGAGATGTGGCCTGTCAGGCGTGGAGATGCACCGCCAACACGTCACCAACTGTGTGAACGGTGAGCAACATTCAAACGCGGAGGCAGGCGGAGACACATATCGTGTGCCCGTTTGAAGCATAGCCCTTTCTCGAAGTATACCAACCTTCGTGCAGCCCTTCTTGACGCCCTCTTTTGACCCTCTGTCGACGATTCCCTCTCAGGTGCACAAAGGATCAACAGTGGCTGTACGCTCACCCCAACGCCCCACAGGCTCCGAAGTTTGGAAGCGGCAACAGCATGATCCCAGATGATCTTGTCCCTCAGCTCATGGGCCTCACCGTCCTCGAGCAACAGCTTATCTCCATGGCCCACCCAATTGCCAGGGCCTATCGCCTGCCGGGTGGCCAGTGTGCCTACTCCGGGCATATCCTCAACGTCGCCAGAGACGTCACCACGTTTGCAACGTCTCTTCCGTGGCAGGCCAACTCGGACGATATCCCCATCATCGTCATCGTGCCCCCCGGGGGAGGAACATGGCAAGGGCGGGAGTTCAAGGCGTTGAAGAATTGTGTGGAGATAGCCCTCAATTGGCTAATTGCAAACAACCCGGCGTACAGCAGTGTGCGGATCGACATCGAGAACCTCGATCGCCTGGGCCGGGAAAACGACGACACCGAGCATGATCATGTCAACAACTTCCTACGCCTTCGAAAGGCGGGCCCACCCCATGGCGCTGGTGGCGGTGGAGGCCCTTCGGACGACGAAGATTCCTCTTCAACGCGTCGCGACTATCGTTACATCGGTGCTCCTTTCCCTGCACGTCCGGACGACGACGTCACCGACCCTCTTCAAGCTGCGGGTGGTAGAACTACAAGCAATACCCCTAGGGAATCGTTCATTCCTACCGACGGAACGGGCGAAACCCCCCAAGAGGACGAAGTGCGAGCATGCCTGGAAAGATTGGCAGCCAGAAGGGACGGTGGAGATGCATCTGCGAGGGTTCATCACCCGCGACAGCTGGATCCACTTCCTGAACATCAGACGCCTTTCCTGGCGACAAAGTGCTTCCCTTGCCTCTTTCCGCGCGGAGCGGCGGACCCGACATCCGGAGCACGCCGGAGGGGGGTAGACTTTGTTGACCACGTCACGCATCTGCTCAAGTTCGTCGATGCTGTCGAAGAGGAACGGTACCACTACCGCTTCGTCAGCCACCGCCTCTTTGCCTATTGGTGTATGGACACGAAAGTGCGCTCGCAAGCGCGAACCCAGTGCCGCATGTTCATGAACAACAATCCGCACATCGCGCAGATGTCGGTTGATGAGGTGTTTGACAACATATGGGACAACGTCCAGGGAATCATGACTCACATGAGCCGGTACACTGCAAACCTACCGGGCACTGACGGGTTTTGGCAGAAGGAGCAAGGGCGGCTTGAAAATGCCGTCGACCAACTTCAGAGCTTGACGGTCTTCACCACGTATTCCGCGGCCGATCACCATTGGTACGACCTGCATCGTCTAATGCCTGGTTACAAAGAGGACGACGACGACAAGCCTACCCCGCAACAGCGCACTCAGTGGCTCATCGATAACCCCCATCTTGCAGATTGGTGGTTTTGGCAGCGCCTACAGGAGTGGAAGGGTGTCTTCCTCGGAAGGGACATGGGTGACCAAAGGTGGCAATGGGATCGGGCCGAGTGGCAATCTAGAGCAAGCTTGCACGTACATGGCTGCAGCTCGTGGATCGTAGAAGCCGTCAGGAACAAGCACCTGACGGACCTCTCCCGACGGTATCTCAAAGGCTTTCTGGCGCGCAGGCGGGTGAAACAGGGGCGGCTGGAGGAAGGTGCTCCGACCGATGGCGGGGTGTCAGATGAGGAGTTTGCTCGGGTCCAACAGGAAATGTGCACGTTCTTGGTCGCAGTGGGGTTCACGGCGCGTAACCCCGACCCCCCTGCGCCTGATGAGGCGGTTAGCGAGGAGCAGCGAAGAGCCGCCGCGGAAGGGATTGCTCGCGACATGCGGGACTTCCCGTGGGAGGACGAGCAGGCTACGATGGAGCGCTACAGTCTCCTGTTGAACGCCTGCCAGCGCTACACCAGGTGTGGCACATACTGCCTTAGAGGTGGTGAGACGTGCCGCTTCGGCTACCCGCACGATCGCCGGGATGTCATGCAGGTAGCGGCTCACTGTCCAGGCGTACAGCTCGAGGTTTGCAGAATTAGGATTGCACAGCAGTGACGCTTACGTCGTCTTCAACGGCGCCTACATTCAGGCGTTGCAGCAGGAAGAACTCATGCAGTATCACCCGTTAGGGATTCTTCTTTTTAGTTGGATAGAATCCTGTCGACAAGCGGGGGCGTTGGTCGACATGCCGCAGGTACCTGCATTGGTTTAGTTTTGAGGAGTGTCGCTTATGATTAAGTTCTGCTTGTTGTATTGGTTTGCGTGTGTGTTTTCAAGTCTGCAACCGGGAGGAATAATGGATCACCTTGTTACATCGCTGTCTTCATCAATAGTGCGTAACTTCGCATAGCATCGCAGATAGACTACTGCAAGGTACTGAGTCGCACCACGCGGCTCATTACCCCCCCATGCCTAGTATTGATTCGTTGTTTTTGCAGAAAAAGCTGACTTGAGGTGGCGGGAGCACGCATCCCACAGTGGTTAGTTACTTTTGCGTAAGGAACCAGGGAGGGTGTTGGTGTGAGTGCGTACGTAGTCGGATCTGTAGACGACATGACTGTTTCAGGTGTCCTGCACATAGGTATGCGTTGGGCAGTACGACCAGAGAATGATTGTGCGGAGCTCCCACGCCAGCTGCTGTCAGCTGTCGTGTGCGTGGCACTCCCTGCTCTTTCCCCCAACCGGGTGTGAGAGATAACAAGCATCTAAACATCAAGCACTACAGTCTCTACAAAGACAACAAGGGCATACCACTTATTACGGTGGAACACACTAATCAAGACCAAATTGGGCACTTCCCGTTCTCTCTCAAAAAAAACAATCCGTCAAATTGTCCTCTGTCGCAAAAGTTTATTGGAAAATACACACTCTTTTTGAAAGTTTTGCACGCAATAAGTAAGCAATAGACACACTGGGCGGGTTGAACAGAAATCCTGTTACATCAGCTATCGAATGACGCTGGTTTCATGCCCATCGAAAAGTCACAGCACGAAGTGAACGGCGCTAAAAGCAGGCACTTCATGGCAGCAATTTTCGAGCGGGCATACTTGTTGCGGTTCGGGCAACCACATTAGGTTCTACAATAGAACCTGTCGCAAACCGCTCAGCATAGCGCGTACAAGTCCAAAATTTGAATTTGAGCCAGCCGTTGTAGAGCAACTCGCCGTCCACGCCAGGCACCTGGCCAATCCGGCACCCACCATGACCAAGCGTGGTAGGCGGGTACCGATAGGCGGCACCAGTGGCCGTCCGCCTAAAGCGATCAAGGGGGCCAACGCTGCGGCCGCGAGAATTGCAAAGGCTATACAGTCGTCCCCGCTTTAAAGACGCATAGCGTTTTTTTTTTCAAAGCGTCTTTAACGCGGGGAATCGTCTTTAAGATTCCGGGGACGATAACGCACCACCCCCGGAGCCGATGGAGGCATAACATACATCAAAAGACGACCCGTTGCAACACGTAACTTATAACGAAACGAGGATCCATAAATCTGACCGCTCACAACGTAGCCGTGGTTGAAAGTGGAATGCACTATATATATATATATTTATATATTATAAACCATGTTTTAAGTTACCGCGCCACCGCCCGCAATAATATGCTCCCGACATGTGGGTTGTTGCGGGATATAGTTTTGTTATGACTGCAGTGCACTCTCTCGGTTGTGTGGCGACTGCTGCCTGCTGTGTTGTTTTTATTTTCTTCTCGTTTTCCTGATGTTGAAAACCTCACCGACACATCCTTCACCACAGCGGTTCCAACTTTGACACGATACTTCAGTATATCCTAAGCGATAGAGACACAAACACCCTACACACGAAACTCAGATGGACATCAACGCTAAATTATCGGTGAAGATGAAGCAATAAAAAAAAAGAGCCCATCGCTGTATGCCCTCCGAAAAAAAAAACTATCGCCCCCACATATCGCCAAGAGTGGCCTGCACCTCACCCCCCTGCTTCGCTCTTCGGTTGACTTGAGTTTCGTGAGTGAACGAATGCACAGTCCTCGAAAGAAGGTACAGCGTTTCGCTGTACTCGCCGTCCTTCCCTTTCGCATTCAAAAAGGAGCGGCACTCCTCGAGGCGAAAGCGGACGTCGGCCTCTGTAAGCGACGTTGTCACGCACGACTCTGACCTACCGTCGTCGTCTTCCTCTTCGCTGGGTACATCGTCATCGAGGGTTACGCCGGCCAGTTGCTCGTCTACAGCCTGCAGTTCCATTGCTATTTCTTCCTCCAACACCTCTGGGTCGTCCTCTACACTAAGCCACGTCTTTACTGCCTGACGCACTTCAGCGTCCGTGAGGCCTGAGGCTTTCTCGACGAACAAGTTGTCCGTCAACACTCGCGCCGTGGATCTAGAGTCCGTGGCGCTGGCTGGCATAGACATCTTGGAGACCATTTCGCAGAGGTCGTCGATGATGGCTCACCACACGTTGTCGTGTGGGCGGCAGACGGACCGTCAGCAGACGAAAGGAATCTATCCATATCCACGCAGTAGCGGTTGCAGCAGCAGCATCAGCAGTGGCAGACCGCTCTCTGTGCAGTTCTACAGGTGTGCTGCACGATTTTCTGGGGGGCCCCGCAGTATATAATGTACACCCCCCCCTCATATTGTATATCTGCGGGGCACCATGGTTCGGAATTTTTTTCGTCTTTATCGCGGGGAGTTGACTTAAGATGAGCGTCTTTAAAGCGGGGACGACTGTATATGAACAAGCTCCTGGATGATACGGAGAAGAGAAAAGCGTCCACCGCCGCTGCCGAAGCAGCTCTCGCGGCCAAGGAAGAAGGGGTCAAGGCCATGAAGGCATCAGTGGCCCGGGATCGGGAGAAGCTCCCGCGGGACATTGCGAGGTCGGACGTGCTTCAACAGCAGCGTGAACGGCGAGAGCAGGATCGTGTCAGCAAGGCTGCTGAAGCGGCGACTTCCAAGCTTCCCCCTCTCGCGCTGAAGTTTGTCGAGGACTCCGTGCAATCGCTGAGGCTCAAGACTGGCGAGCTCACCACTCTGCAGCAGTCGCGGATGATTCTCCTGCTGTACTTCGACCTGGTGAAAGGAGGCAGCTCTGAGAACCACACAAAGGAGCAGGTGAGAACCAAGAAACATGGCTGTTGCGTACAAAGTACCAGAATATGGACGCATGCATGTCGTTGTCACGTTTTTACAGCAGTAAAGTAGTGCCACATACTCTTTGGTACAACTGTATGTATGAATACATCCTACCCAAGATTTTTGAACAGCCCTACGCAACATATTGTGCATCATGCCAGTACTGCTGCCGGCCCATGGTCACATTGCTTGCACTGCTGTCCTGATGCCCATTACTGCTGTGCAATACAAAAAAAGTGGCATTCATAACGGTGTGCTGGCAGATGTACAAGTGTGCCAGTACAGCAGTTACAGCAGCGCGTTGTACCGCTGAATGTAAAGGAATGTATCCATGTGCATGGTGTTAGAAAGGCTTACCTCTTTAGACTACTCAGTCAGCGCTGACTCTTCTAATGGTTTGACATGTGGCGATAAAAGATACACTCTCGGCTCGTAGCCACCCGGCTGGTCACTGGGAATTTAGAAGTAGAGATCTCCGGGGACGGATCCCTCGCCATGCGCTGCAGGAAGCGAACTAAGGGTGCTTGTGAAAGCGACCATTTGGAATTCAAACCCGTGCGTGTATCCCGTGTTAGTAAAGGCTTACCCCATTAGACTACATGGTCAGCGCTGACTGTTTAGCTCAGTGGATATGTCGTATATCCAACAAAAGTACAACCAGGGGTTGGATCCCTCTTGGAGCCATCTTGACGCCTTTTTTCAGGAAAGAGAAAAAGCTCTGGGATACACACCTGAAAGTCATGGTATACATCATCAGTCGTCAAANCCACCCGGCTGGTCACTGGGAATTTAGAAGTAGAGATCTCCGGGGACGGATCCCTCGCCATGCGCTGCAGGAAGCGAACTAAGGGTGCTTGTGAAAGCGACCATTTGGAATTCAAACCCGTGCGTGTATCCCGTGTTAGTAAAGGCTTACCCCATTAGACTACATGGTCAGCGCTGACTGTTTAGCTCAGTGGATATGTCGTATATCCAACAAAAGTACAACCAGGGGTTGGATCCCTCTTGGAGCCATCTTGACGCCTTTTTTCAGGAAAGAGAAAAAGCTCTGGGATACACACCTGAAAGTCATGGTATACATCATCAGTCGTCAAAGATGAAGACACGTATCCCCGCCTGTAAGCCGATGAACCGCTTGGGGCAGCGCTGATTACAGGTATTACAACCCTGGGGGAGAACCAGAGTCAGACAGCCTAACAGCTGTTCGGACCCTGGTTGTACTTTTGTTCCATATACAATATATGCACTGAGCTGAATAGTCAGCCGCTGCCTAGCCTAATGGTATAACATATGGAGCCAAACGAAACACGCACGGGTTCGAGCCCCAGATGATCACTCTCACAAGCACCCTTAGTTCTTTTCCTGCCGCGCCTGGCGAGGGGTCCGTCCCAGGAGATCTCCACGTAACAACATATTCGCCTGATTGAGAGCGTAGCATCTGATTGAGAGCGAGATTGCGCGATACGCTGTAGCCGGACTACCACTGAGAGGTGGAGCTTGCTGTGTAGCTTGAATTGNTAGCCCTTCAATTCAAGCTACACAGCAAGCTCCACCTCTCAGTGGTAGTCCGGCTACAGCGTATCGCGCAATCTCGCTCTCAATCAGATACTTCGCTCTCAATCAGGCGAATATGTTGTTACGTCTAGACTTCCCAGTGACAAGCCGGGTGGCTACGAGCCGAGCGTGTGTGTGTCTTTTGTTAGAAAGGCCTACCCCATTAGAGTACTCAGCCAGCTATATATATATTATACATATCTAACTCTAACCCTACCTCTATATTAATAGCTGGCTGAGTAGTCTATATATTATTATATATATAAATATTACTGGCTGAGTAGTCTAATGGGGTAAGCCTTTCTAACAAAGACCACCATTTTCCTCGCGTGCGCTGTAGGGTTATCCACACTCTGCCGTCCTTTAATACCGGCTCTTGTACACCAGCGCAATACAGTAGTGGGCCCTATATAGTGCAGGGGTCTGTCGTGAGAATTTACCTGCACTATAGCAGGCACCTGCACTACTGAAAAGGGTGCCCTCGATAGTGCAGGTTCTGCACTATTGAGGCACTCTTCGACTTCACGTTGTGAGTGTGGCGTCCGCGCTTTGCGGGGCCAACAGAGTACGAAATGGATCGAGATTGTGGATTAATAGTGGACGAAGCTAACTCTCAGTCCTCGTTGCCTGCCTTCCCTCGATGTTGGTGATAGAAAAAGACTTGCGTGTATAAAAAAAATACGACAGAAAGCCCACTGCAAAAACACGAGCAACCATGTACTGCTGGCCCCTGCCATCATTACGTGATGATCAAACTCTCATGTCTCCCTGGCGCACCTGGCTTCGACTCAGCAAGAACCAACACATACACAACCAGCCAGGCGCAACCTCACTCCGTCGTGCCAATTTATCTTGCGACCCCTGCCGCACCGGCTGCTATGTTGCAAGAAAAAAAAACACAAGTAAAAAAGAGAGAAAAACATGCAGGAAGGTCACTGCAAAGAAAATCAAGCAAGCATGCACCCCGCACCCTTGCTAACGTCGTGACAAACTCCCTTATGACTGCCCGGCGCACCCGCTGCGATGTTGCAGGAAAAAAAACAAAAAGAAACGAGAAAGGCGCATAGGAAGCTGACTGCAAGGAAAAATAACAATCACGTACACCCGCCGCCTTCACTACGTCTCGACAAACTCTCTCATGTCTGCCTGGCGCACCCGCTTAGCGGCATGCGCTGCGATCATCGCCATTTTTGCTTTCTGCAGATGGAACGCCGCGTCTCCATTGCCACTCTCATCTGCTGCCGATTCCAGGACGCCGAAGTGAGGTGACAGCCCACTATAAGCCGGTGGACCACGGCGCTCGCGCCCCGTGTTCTCACCGCCACCGCCATCAGCTGGTATCTCTTTGCGCTTGCCAGCTCTTGCGACGCACGAGCCGCAGATTCGCCTTGTTTCGATGTCGCCAACCATGCTGCCGCAGTTGCCGTGGGGCCGCCCGCTNACGCACGAGCAGCAGATTCGCCTTGTTTCGATGTCGCCAACCATGCTGCCGCAGTTGCCGTGGAGCCGCCCGCCACATCCTCCATGACAGACGTGGCCATGAGGGGCTTGCGGCGTCTTGTCTGGTTGGTGGCACAGCTCACCGTCCGCACAAGGCATGGTGCGCCTCTGCGCTGCGTACAGCTCTTCGAGTCTGCAGCAGCACGCGCGCCGCGTTTGTGTTGCGTCTATCTGCTGTTCGTGAGTGTGTTCTTGTTTTTCTCTTGATCGCGTGTGTGTTTTTATTATTAGCATCGACCACGCTAACCAGCTGACCAATTAAAAGACGTCAGTGCCAGCGGGAAAAAATCAAGGTCCCTGGAAGGGGGCCAAAATTCGAAAAATGCGCAATGCGCTTGATGCGAATGCCAATACGACTCTCTCCACATGTTCTTTCACGAAGACACACATCTCAGCTACACAAATGCCCTCGCTCGAA